AGTGTAACATCTTTTATCGTAAGCCACCCAAGAGGAGACAATGGGTATGGTTATAAAGACTTATTTCCAAGGTATACTCGCATAATCTCTCCCAAGTTATTCTTAGATCATGATTGCTCAGAGGGGGCTACTACTCGTAAAAGCTAGATTCTTAATGTAAGACTTTTATTCGTCTTGAACTGACTGGTGGCGATGTATCATCTTCAATACTCAAGACTACTCATCATCTTTAAATAAACGTGCTGTAAGAGTTTTGTGACGATCCCAAGTGTTGCGGGTTTGTTCGCTTTAATGTCACGATAACCTCAATACAAAACACCTCACTCCCGCACCGCAACTTGATAAGAAACGAAAGAAAGAAAAAACGGTGCGTCAATTTATTCAGTGGCGAAATATTTTCGTTTTATTTTGCATGAAATTCTTTGACGGGAACGCGGAGCAGAAGAATGTAAGCTGAGCAGGTATCAGGTGAGTAGAATTTGCAACCTAAGTCATGAGGAAGAAATGTCAAAAACGTGTCCAGCAGTTTGCCCGTTTGGTAAACGAAAAGACACATTTGAAGCGTGATTAATTTTTAATGCAGTAATATTTTCAGCTCTCATACTCTACAGAGTTTGCTTTCTTTACAATTTCACTGTTTGACATCCTTAGTTTAATACAATGTATACACCATAGCTATTCTCTCTTACAAACATCTCTCTCAAATACCGATGATATTTTCTATCTAATTTGCTATATATATCAGAATAAAAAAAAAAGAATTAAACAATCAGAGTGGAATAAATTCCCCTACGGCCTCTTTCTTCATAAGGCCTCTAGAAGCCATTTAGGAGGACAACACGAAGAAAGAAACCTGATTGACAGGCTGGAGAAAAAAGTTCTTCCTTGGCCACTGTTGACCAACCAAGTCTATTTCTGTCTAGCACCTTAGTCACGTGACTGTTTCTAGTCTTACACGTCCTTGGTGACGTGCTTCTAAGGAGTTCTAATCAGATTCTCCCCAGCTCTCGGGCACATACGTTCTGCTATTACTATCACGGCGCAAAGCCTGAGGCTAAGCAGTGACTGTCGCTATTGCTGTTCATATTAGAGTCCAAATTTCTTTGAGCTGAAAACGTCAGCTGAATCAGCTCTATTACTGGCTTACAGAATATAGGAAAAATGGTAATAAGTGTATGGAAAATGGAAAAGGAAAAGTTAGATAACAATAAATTAAAAGAAAAGTTACCTTCACATACAGATCACTTAGAAGGCAATTATGTTTTAAAACTTTCTTGGAATAAAACCTCAGTACTCACGGCTTTGCTAGTTCGATATTCTAACTCAGTAGCAATTTTGATCATATTTAGATTTGAAATATTACATCATATAGTGCTGAATTACAGATGTATAAAAACTCATACCAAAACATTTTTTTTCTCAATGTCGTTGTTTGTGTGAATTAAAACACGATTTTTAAACTACTGTCCAGGATAAATGGTTGAGCAAATCACTTCTACAATTAGTAAGAGTTCTGTGGCTTCTCTTTTATTTCGCCTGGAAAACCTGTGAACAGAACAAAAGAACAACATTAAGATAGACCTTTGAAGTTCAATGCGTGTTGTGGATGTGTTTAATATATAGCATTTTAATCTTTTGAGTATTCGCAGCTGGTCAAATAAACATTCTTACGTTATCTTGAGTTTTTCTTTTTTTAATTATTATTTCCCTTAAAAAAAGGACAGAAGAAAAACCTTTATCCGCTTTTATGATAATTTAATGCAGTGAAAGTCTGGTACATACTGAAAATCTTCTTTAATTGCTGTGTGAAATGATCTTGAAAAG